ATTATATTTCACCAGTTTACTTATTAAATAAAACCTTCTATAACTACTTCCTAACTTTCAATCCCATCCCACTTTTACACAAAACTTTCCACTCTTGTGAAATTTAGCTAAGTTTATCAGGGGACTCCAGTTTCCTCTGACCCATCACCCAACACTGAACCCAGAGTTTTATGTTTCAAATACACTCTTCCTAGCACTCGGAAATCATCTGCCTAATCCAGTTCACACCATAAACCAAACATGCCAACTTATAAGAAGAGTGTTCTTCTTCCTTGATTGCTGAGTATTGATTAGGGGAAAAAAGTCATTAATTTCTACAGATTCTTCACTAAGAATTTGGATATTATAGTTTCAAAAGGATTCTCAATGCTACATGGTCATTCAGTTAGTTAACCTCCATATTCTTTTTTTTTTTTAATTTTTTTTTTCAACGTTTATTTATTTTTGAGACAGAGAGAGACAGAGCATGAATGGGGGAGGGGCAGAGAGAGAGGGAGACACAGAATCGGAAACAGGCTCCAGGCTCTGAGCCATCAGCCCAGAGCCTGACGCGGGGCTCGAACCCACGGACCGCGAGATCGTGACCTGGCTGAAGTCGGACGCTCAACCGACTGCGCCACCCAGGCGCCCCATTTAACCTCCATATTCTTGATGCTCCTCAATGAAAGTAAATAAACAAAAGGTATGAATCATGTACCTGCTTCTTACCTTCCCTTTCTCTACTGGCTGCACACTAGAATCACCCAGAGATCGTGTTTTTTAAAGTGGCAATGCCTCAGTCCCATCCCAAAACAATTACATCAGAATTCTAGGGGAAGAAAAAAGAATTCTGGATATGGGAACCATGTCTGCTGTTTACTTTCTATTTGCCTCTAAACCTTCACCTATTTTTAATTCTCTAAAAATCCCACCCCTTCCTTGATCCACAAATTGTCTTAACTTTTCTAATAACTTCAATATTTTTCTCTTATATAATCTAAAACTTTTCTAAAATGTTACAGTTTATTACAAAATAGGCTGTAATACACAGGTTATTTTGGCCTATGTGTCATTAAAAAATGAAGGTTCCATATTCAATAATTCATTTAAAAACATAATGCAGTAAGTAAAATAATACCTAAAGGATATAGCATTTAACAGTATGTTATAGTTTATGTCATCAGAATACATGCAATTTTATATAACTATAAAGTAAAATACTTGGATAACAAAGTCTTTCTAGGTCACAGTTACAAAAAAACATAATGATAAATTAAATATATTTCTTCTTAATAGTGACAAATATAGGAAATCAATATATTTACTTTTTAAGAGCGAATTATTTCCCCGAAATATACAGTATTGTAGGATGCCAGAAGACACGTATTTTTAGTGAAAAATTAAATATTACACCAAAATGCCAGTTAAGGTGGTGTTTTTGTCTGAGTAGGATCTTACGGCATCCTTGAAGGTAAAGAAACCTTTATCCAAATGTGCTAGCCCAAATGTGACAACACTGTTAATGCCAACTTGAATACTGGTCCTCATATACGATAGGAGAAGAACCCAGAATCATCTGCAATGCTGTTTTTCAAAATACTTTGCTCACCTTCTTCTCTACCCGCTTTCAGACATGCCCCCAACATACAGTCTTTATCGGGTCATAGGGTCATAATAAGATCCTTCTAGAAATTTTTTTTTTATTTTGAAAGCCGAGAGAGAGAGAGAGAGAGAGAGAGAGAGAGAGAGAAAGAAAGAGACAGAGGGAGGGAGACAGAGGGAGGGAGAGGGAGAAAGCAGGTGAGGGGCAGAGAGAGGGAGAGGAGAATCCCAAGCAGGGTCCATGCTCTCAGCGCAGCCCATGTCTCGAGACATGGGACTCAATCCCACAAACTGAGATCATGACCGGAGCCAGAATCAAGAATTAGACACTTAACCAACTGAGCCACCCAGGTGACCCAATCCTTCTAGAGAATTCTGAGACACCGAAATTCCCTTTCTGCAAACTAGTCTGAATGAATTAAACTTTTTTCCATTGACCCACGTTACTAACAACTTCAGTTTGCAATCGAATTCACAATTATTTAAAATCTAAAAGTCTACACATAAATATACAACATGAAGAGTGAAGATGTGGAGACACCGCATAAAAAAGTGTTTGTTCTTGAGAAGAACAAGTGTTCAGCCAAGAAGAAATAGATAATCTGAATTGTCCTTAACCACTGAGGAAATGAAATAATGCAATTTAAAATCACAAGGCCAAAATGGTTTTACTGAAGGATTCTATCAAATATTTAAAGAAGAATTAACACTAGCTAACACTATCTTCTAAAACTGTGTAATTTTACACAATCTCTTCCAGAAAGTAAATGAGGAGAAAACATTTTCCAAATCATTTTATGAGGCCAGTATTAGCCTGATACCAAACTAGACTAAAAAGAGTATAAAAAATAAAGAAGTATAGATCAATATCTATCATAAACTTAGATGCTTATTTGTAATAGATTTTTATTAGCAAATAGAATCCAGCAATACATAAAAAGAATACACCATAACCCAGTAGGATTTATTCCAAAATGGAAGGTTGGTTCAACATACAAAAATCAATTACCATAAGGTACCATATTAAGCACCTAAAGATGAAAAATCCTATCATTCATGCCAAAAAAAATTTTGATAAAATTCAACACCCATTCATGATCAGAATTCTCAGCAAACTCATAGAGAACTTGCTTAAGTTGATAAAGAACATCTTTAAAAATCTTACAGCTAGTGGGGCACCTGGATGCCTCAGTGGGTTAAGCACCCGACTTCAGCTCAGGCCATTATCTCAGAGTTCCTGGGTCTGAGACCCGCATCTGGCTCTGTGCTAAAGGCTCAGAGCCTGGAGCCTGCTTCAGATTCTGTCTCCCTCACTCTCTGCCCTTCCCTCACTTGCACTCTGTCTCTCAAAATAAGTAAACATTAAAAGAAATTTACAGCTAGTATCATCATTAATAATGAAAGACTACATAATTTCTTCCAAAGATCAGATTAAAATGTAAAACATAAAACTATAAAACTTTTAGAAAACAACATAAGAGAAAAATTTAGGGATACAGTGCTAGGCAAAGAGTTCACCTGGATAACAAAAGTAAATTATAAACCAAGAAACTGGTAAAATGGACTCATTAAATAAATATCTGCAAAAGATATGTTATGAACATGAAAAGATAAGCCATAGACTAGGAGAAAATATTTGGAAGCTACATGTCTGACAAAGGACTAGTATCTACAATACATAAGGAACTCTCAAAACTCAGTAAAAAATCCAATTAAAACGTGGGCAAAAGGCAGGAACAGATAGTTCATCAAAGACATGATATACAGACAACAAATAAGCAGATGAAAAGACGTTCAACCCTATGCCATAAGGAAAATGCAAAATAAAACCACAATGAGGTATCACTACATACTTGTCAAATGGCTAAAACAGTGATAAATGCTGGTGAAGATATGGAAAACTACATCAGGCATACACTGCTAGAGGAAATGTAAAATGATACAGCCACTCTGGAAAACATTTTGGCAGTTTCTCATAAAGCAAAACATGCAACTACCAAACAACCTAGCCATATCCCAGAGAAATGAAACCTTAGGTTCATAGAAAAATCCACACCAAAATGTTCACAAAAGTTGTATTTTTAATAGCCATAAACCAGAAACAATCCAGATGTCCTGTAACAGATGGATGGTTAACAAACTGCAGGACATTCACCCCATGAAAGTTTACTCAGTAATAAAAAGAATGATGACTATTGATAAATGCAACAACTTGGATGGATGCTGAGGGGATTATGGCAAATTATAAAACACCAAACCCAAAAAATCATCAAGAGTAGGATTCCACCCACATCACATTATTAAAACAACAAAATGGAGTACAAATGCAGGATGTGGGAGTGGAATGGGAATGGGTGCATGGATGTGGCTATAAAGGGCAAGAGGAGGGATTCTTATGGTAATGGAACTGTTGTATACCTTCTATACAATACCTTCTATATCATATGTTGTATACCTTCTATATCAATACCAATACTCTACTTTTGACATTGTACTACAGTTTTACAAGATGTTACCATTGGGGGACACTGAGCAAAAGGTATATAGGATCTCTCTGCATTATTTCTTACAATTAGATGTGAACCTACATTATCTCAACATTAAAAAAAAAAATTTTAAAGGATGTTGCATACGTATTTGTACTTGTCCAAAATTTTCCTTACTATGTTCCCACTAAAAGATATTTCAATCATTTAAATAATTTACTTCTGGGGCGCCTGGGTGGCTCGGTCAGTTGAGCATCCGACCTCGGCTCAAGTCATGATCTTACGGTCCATGAGTTCAAGCCCCCCGTTGGGCTCTGTGCTGACAGCTAAGAGCCTGGAGCCTGCTTCAGATTCTGTGTCTCCCTCTCTCTGACCCGCCCCCGTTTATGCTCTGTCTCTCTCTGTCTCAAAAATAAACAAACATTAAAAAAATTTTTTTAAATAAATAAATAAATAAATAAATAAATTTATAAATGAATGATTTACTTCTGTTTTATAGAAGAACCTTCTAATCACTGGAAGTAATTAAAAGTAAATGGATTTCTGTAGGTAAAAGTATGACTCTCGATTAAACTGTTAAAATAGAATATGTTTAAGGAGGTTACTTGATTGCCCATAAAATATAATTAGGTAACTTACAGACAATATTCGAAACAAATCTTAGCACACATTTACCTTTATACAGGACATAAAGAAGAAAATATGTTTTATGATTACTCTTGCATTGGTTAATAAGTATTACACACAGTAAAAGAATATTAGCCAAAATTATTTTCTAAAATATACCGATATTGAACTTACCTTGAAGTGCACATTTAGAGCAGACTATAACCTTGAACAGCTGTTGAATTCTATTACATAGATTTACTTAAGTGTAATAAATATACAAGCATGGGAGAGTAGTTTTAAAATTTTTTAGAACACATAAATTACCTGCACACAGAACACTGCCGTTGAGGCTGAAGAGCAGTGAACATAACAATCATAGAATAGTTTCGAGGTGGTGCCTTTATAAATTTTCGGAATTTATCGCCATTCATTCGGAAGATTGAGCGCCTGGAACTCCATTCCATCAGCTGTTCTACTTTTTCAGCTAAAAGATTCTGCAATTAAACACAGGAATTTAAATTTACACAGGGTTAAAGTCCTCCACTATGTATTTCATATATACTGAATTGCATGAGATTCTACCTTACCCCAAAATAATTTCTGTTAAAAGTTTTTCTTTTGGTGAATATATCTATTATTAATTGACTGTATATGCATAAAATATTTCATTTTATTTTCCCTAAAGTTTGCAAAGGTTTATAAAACAGACATAAAAAGTAAAACAGACTACCACTTCCACAAAGATAAAACACACATGCTTTTCCCTAATCTACCACTAAATACAGAAAAACATGCTGTCCATTACATAAAAAGCAAATATAGCAAGGCTCTGAAAAAGGATGTCCAATGTTAAAAAAAGAAGGAAATCCTACTATTTGCAACAACATGGATAAAAATACAGGGTATTACGCCAAGTGAAATAAGCCAGTCATGTAAGAATAAATATGGCATGATTCCACTTGTATGAGGTTCCCAAGATAGTCAAACTCCTAGAAGCAGAGAAAAAACAGTGGTTGCCAGGGGTTAGGGGAGGAAGAAATGGACAATTGTTGCTCAATGGGTATAGTTTCAGTTAAGCAAGATGAGTAAGTTCCTGAGATCTACTGGACCACACAGTATCTATAGTTAACAACTGAGTATTGTGACCTTTAAAATATGCTAAAGAGGACAGATCTCATGTTAAGTGTTCACGCTATCACATACACACACGCAGGCACACATGCAAAGAACACAAGGCAATTTTTGAAGGTGATGCATGTGTTTGGTATTTTGATTGTGGTAATGGAATCACAGATTTGTACATATGTTGAAGTCATCAATATATATATTAAGGGTGTTCAGTGTTTTGTATATCAATGATAACCCAATAAAACTTTTAAGAAAGGAGGAGGAAGAGAGAGGAGAGGCAGGCATCTTACCCTGAGTTAGGGTAAAAGACTTGCTGAACTGCTCTGCACCTACCTGAGGGAGAAAAAAGATAAAAGAAATGGAAGAGAAAAGGGAAGCAGGGGCAGTAACCTGCTCAAAGAGCATCATGCTTAGTTAGTAGTTGGACACAACATTCAGGTAAATGCACAATGGCAGAGTGACAATAACAAAAAAGAAATATAACTAATTACTGGGATAATGTTACTTAAAAAAAAAAGACAACAAAATTTTACCTTACCAAAAAATACCAGCTGAAATTCATCCTAATCTCAAAACAAGCCAATTATTTGGATTTGATTATATTTGTCTGCAGGCCTTTAATTCCACGTGCAGATAGAACATGAATATATTTCCATAAAAACAATACTCTTGCTAAACTGAAAGTTAAATAAAATTTTAGAAGACACTGCTCTGCTTCATCAATACACACAAAACAGCTAAAAACTGAGCAGAAGGACTTACACGAACTTTTCTTACTTTGAATTCTAAGGAATAAAGTGAGGCTGTTTCCATGTTAAGCATAATTTCCTAGTGTTTGTCTTATAAAAGTTGTCATATATTTAATATGATTTTAACTCTTCAATTGTTTACCCTAACACTCAGTGAGTCAATTTAGCATCTATAAATTCTTCTGAAATAATTTTAAAATAAAGCATTTTATTTATAGGGACTGTGACCCTCTATGTAAAGACAGACCCTCCAACTAGCAAATCAAGCAAAGTCTTAATACACTAATGAGGGCAAAAAGAGCTGGTCTAAAAAACAGCAGTTTGTCTGCAGGTTCCTAGGGTGTTTTAGTATACTTTTCTCAACAAATACACACACACACACACACACACACACTTTCCTCTTATTATTATTTTTTTATTTATTTATTTATCTTGAGAGGAAGAGAAAGAGAGAACGCACAGCCCAAGAGGGAAGGGGCAGAGCAGAGAGGGAGAGAATCCCAGGCAGGCTGAGCGCTGTCAGTGCAGATCCCGACACGGGGCTTGATCTCATCAGTGAGAGCGTGACCTGAGCCAAAACCAAGAGTCCAGACGCTTAACCGACTGGGCTACTGAGACACTCCCAAACACACACGTTCCTTTTAAATTCTCTAATAATAATTCTATAACAATTAGATTCTATAATCATCTACTTCTATACTACAATAAGTCTATAATAACGTTACTCTATTTTTTCTTGTTAAAAACAATCACATCTTTACACCAATACGTTATCTATCATGACATTAAATAAATTTGAAAAGTAGAAGATTTTGTTTTACTTTCACTTTTTCAGTTATCAAAGAAGCAAGCCAGTTTCAAGCGTGCTGGCAAAAACAAGTATCCTGAGTCAGAAATATACTTTTTTTCTCTGGCAAGGTTTATTTGTTTTCCAGCTTTACTGAAGTATAAGTGACAAAACTGTAAGATACTTAAAGTATACAACATGATGAATGGATATACATATACACTGTGAAAAGATTCCTTCCATCTAGTTAACTGACATATTCATCACCTCACACAGAATACCTTTTTTTCTTTCCTTTATTTATGGTGGGGGGGAGGGGGTGGGCGAGAACACTTAAGTTCTATAGTCACCATGTTCTACATTAGATCCTCAGACCTTATTCACCTTATATCTAAAAGTTTGTAACCTTTTATCAAGTTTCCTTGTCCCCCTCTACCACCACCCTTTTATGGGCCTGCTCCTGACAACGACTTTTCTGTCCCTACTGTTTCTATGATTTCAAATATACATATATTTTTAATTCAACATATAAGTGACTCCATTTTATAAACACACATACATCATACTTGTTAATCCATTCTCATGGTACAAAAGGCACCATGAGCTCCATGTTGTCACCCAAGTCTCACGGGGCTGGTGTGGAACAGCCCGGATAGATGATCATTTAGTGGGTTTATGAGAGAGCTGAAGAACTCTAAGGTTAAGAAAACCCAATCTTTTAAAGGTACTGCTGGCAAACATGCCCAACCTCTGCTCTAGAGGTAAAAATGATCTTTATTATCCTGAACAGGAAATAAATCTGTCCTGAAACTTTCCTAAGTCTAGATTTCTAAAGAAATCTAAATTAGGGGCACCTGGGTGGCTCAGTCATTTGAGCATCCGAATGCGGCTCAGGTCATGATCTCGCGGTCCGTGAGTTCGAGCCCCACATAAGGCTCTGTGCTGACAGCTCAGAGCCTCAAGCCTATTTCAGATTCTGTGTCTCCTTCTCTCTGACCCTCCCCCATTCATTCTCTGTCTCTGTCTGTCTCAAAAATAAATAAACGTTAAAAAAAAAAAAGAAATCTAAATTAAAATCAATTTACTATCTTTCAAGGCTGTTTGTACAACAATATCCTTGAAAAGACAGTCCAGCTAATGCCTGGGTTCAGACGTGCAGAAATATGAGAGATCCATGGAGATTTGCCTCCCCAAAATATCAATCAATGCATTCTTTAAATCACATGATTTGAAAACATAATTCCCCCCCCCACCCGCCAAAAAAAAAAGAAAAAGAAAAATATCAAGTCAAATACTAAATACAGGTTGTTTATTGACCTTTTAGGAGTTACAAATCTAGTTCTGCTAAATATGCCTAAAAGAGGGTATGGAAATATAATTCAACTTGTCAAGAATAACTACTCTCTGAATGGTGGATATGGGTAGCTGTCCCTCATAGTTTCACAACTGGATTCTGTCACAACATCATAATCAGCTAAGAAAAATGTATCCATATATTCTAAAATATCTTTCGTCCGGATGTATATAGTTAAAAAAATTTTTTTTAAGCCTTCAAGACTTGAAAGGTTAAATACGGCACTCACTTTCCGCAAACATCCACCTACATTAACAGATATTCCACATACACTTTCATTCCATCAAAACACATGTTAAAGAAAAGAAGCAGGTAAACAAGCCTGTTATTCATATTTCCCAGTGCTTCCATCTTTCAGATAATATGAAGCTTCTTACTGACAGAGACTAAATAAGTTACATCCACCCTTTAAAAATTATACAAAAAATGTATAATAACTTGGCTAAAGTGGATTCTTTTTTATTATTTAATGTTTACTTATTTTTGAGACAGCGTGAGTAGGGGAGGGGCAGAGAGAGACACACACGCAGAATACAAAGTAGGCTCCAGGCCCCACGCTGTCAGCACAGAGTCCCACATGGGGCTCAAACTCATGAACTGTGAGTCAGACACCTAACCAACTAAGCCACCCAGGTGCCCCAAATTCCTTTTTTAAAGTACGCTTTTAGTTACTGGGTACTCTTTCAGAATTAAGCAAATATAAATCTATCCTTTTTCTGACTATTCAGATTCTATAATTTGACAGTCACTGTGCTACAGATTTTACGGTACACAGTCACATTCAACACCAATGTTAACATATAACGTTTACACAGTCATGCCTGGAAAAAAGTAAAATTCCAATTTTATGTAGTTTTCCTACTGCAAATAATCAGGAAAATACAGTTTTAGAAGAAAATACCCATCAGTTCCATCAGGGTACATCAGCCTGATAGACTAACTACAGTTGACCCTCTACAACACACATTTTCAAGTGTGTGGGTCCAATGAAATATGAACTTTTTTCAATAAACATGCAGGACAGGTGCCTGGGTGGCTCAGGCATTAAGCATTTATCTTCGGCTCAGGTCATGATTTCACTGTTAGTGAGTTCAAGTCCCACATCAGATGAACTCCGAGCCCTGCTCTGGGTGAGCACAAGCCCTACTTCCAGTTAAAAAACAAAACAAAACAAAACAAAACAAAAAACCCACGAGCCCCACTTCGGGGGGAGCCCTGCTTCTCTCTCTCTCTACCCCCTCATTCACTTGCAACCCCACTCTCAAAAGGGTTTATATCTCAAAGGAGATATATTTATCTCTCAAAGAGAAATATAAATATAAATAATATAAATATATAAATATAAACAAATAAGTATATAGGAAATTTTTTGGAGATTTGTTTGAGACAATTTGAAAAACCTGTGTAACTTAGAAATACTGAAAAAGAAAAAAATTTAACATATTATCGTGAAAAAACAGTATTTAATACAACATA